ATTTTGGGCAACGTGACTGCATTTTGGGCACTTGGCAACCAGCTCATTTTTATGGTCGATTGCAGTATTCTGCTCTCCACATGATTGAAATTCACAAACTTTTTTTGCTGGTTTCTGGCCTTTTCAGCCACTTTCCAGCAAAAAGAAAAACAAACATCCAGAGAAATACATAGATTTACTTAGCAATCACAGCATTTGCTTAAAGACGGCTACAAAAAAGTCCAAAAAATGTGCTTGTTCATGTGAGTATCTGGATTTATGACAGAAATTTCAGGCTCTGTTAGTGTTGTAAGTCAAAGACTATATCTGCATTGATTTTTTTTTTAAGAAAATCTTGCCTTTCTTCAAATAAGTGTGTCATAGACTATGCGATTCTTTACCAATTTCTTCATCATTAGCTGGTATGACTGCTAAAAGATGACTAGTCCAAGGTTGTCTAGTCAGAGCAATGATCTGATTTCTGTTCTTTCTTATGTCTGACTACCTCCTTATTTATTTTACCACATTTTCTCTAAAAGAACTGCACTCCCCAGAACAGCAGAATTTCACTGAAGGCATGATAGGGAAAGTTATTCAGAACATACAAACCCATTCCTATTAGTTCTAAACATACGTTAATGAAGTAAATCACAGATAATTAATCCCATGAGAACTGCCTCCCAAGATAGTTTACCTCAGGTTTATCTCAACCTGAGGTAAACTACCATATGTGAAGCTATACAACAGTCCATAAATATCACCACCTAATTACGGGTAAAGACTCCCATAACTCATCAAGTCCAATCAAAGTCCATTAAAGAGGTAAAATGGATTGAAGAATACAAAGCAAAAGAGGCAGGAAGTCAAGAAACACATACCACTGTCTGCCAGGTAGTGTGACCGGGGTGCTATAAAAGAAGACAAACCAAGATATCAGATGCATTGTTGGCATTTACCCCCCCTAAGAGCATTAAACTAGCTACACTCCTGCAAAAAACTTAGGTGACCACACCACTATGAGAATTATGTCATGATACCGTCCAAGCGGTAGGTGGCACTGGATCTCCTTATATCTGGGTAGAGTTGGGAGTTTCCTGTTATCTTCTTAGTTTGTTTCAGAATGATAATAATATTCTTATCCTGATATACACTATAGGCTCTATAAACAACAGTGAACACAAAATAAATAATAATGACTTTAGAGAACTCTGCATGATTATACGTTGCCAGCAGATTCTCTGACTCCCACGTCACAAAAGCCATGACACACATGGATACTCACACCCCTTCCTTCCCTCCAAAATGTTCCTGCCTGCAAACTAGTTGGTGGAAAAGAATGCTGGGGGAGGTGAGAGAGAGGAAGAAAGATTTGGTATGGAAGCATTATATATATACACACACACAAATACATACAGAGTACTGGCCAGAGGGGCTACCAAATGGGCCGAGGGGTTCATGGGAGGAATTATTTGCAGGAGTTTCAAATCTCTCAGAAAACACAGCACTGATGAACCATGAGAAGCAGTTATGTGTAAATGCTTGCATGTACATGTATATGACTCTACACATGACTATAATTGCATATACAGACACTGGACCCCATGTTTTATATACTGCCGTGTATCAGCACAATTGTATATTGTCTGTCTTAAATTGTTGCTTTTATATAACATTTTCTACTCAAAACCTTCCTCAGATTTGTGTTACGTGCGCCAGGTTCCTATCTCATTTATCTACTCAGTCCAAAAGCCCTTCAGTCTACTTTGCATTTATTTTTTAAGGATTGCAAAAAGGGAAACCCTCATGCCAGGTCTAGTTTGACTTTAATAATAATTTAAAAATTGAACAACTGCTCAACTAACAATAGTCCCATCTGGTGGTCAGTTGATGCTATTGTGGGTGCACACCTGCAGTTCTTCAACTTTCATTCATTCTCTACCTGCTCATCAAAATAATCTAAGTAAGAAAAAGTAGTTCACCTAATAAAATTTTCTTTTGATTCCAGCTGTAGTAAGGTCATTCATGTATACTAGGGTGTGAAAGTTGACTGTTGCAACAAAGTGCATGTAGTAAATCCACATTGCCTCATTGAAACACAGAGATACATACAAAGTAGAGGTGGGTTGCTTCCGGTTTTACTACTGGTTAACAACCCATGCACACCAGACATGCACTGCATGCGTGTTGTTCAATATAAATTGTTCTTTGCACATGCACAGAACAATTTACAGTGAAATGCACACACACACAGTCCCTAAAAACCAAAATGGCGGCGGCCCAGCGGTGGCGAGGGAACTGATTCGGGGGTGTGGCAGGCCTGGGTCACTACTGGTTCTGCGACCCAGGCCTGAATTCCACTACCGGTTCGGTTGAACTGGGCTGAACCAGGAGCAACCCACCTCTACTTTGTATGTATCTCTGTGTTTCAATGAGGCAATGTGGATTTACTACATGCACTTTGTTGCAACAGTCAACTTTCACACCCTAGTATACATGAATGACCTTACTACAGCTGGAATCAAAAGAAAATTTTATTAGGTGA